AAAAAAAAAAAAAAAAAAAAAAATAGTTTCTACTAAATGTTAAAGTTCCACTAAAGAATGTGCTCATGAGAAGCTGGACAGTGGTGGCAGTGGTGTGTGCCTTTAATCCCAGCACCAGGAGGCAAACACAGGTATTTCTCTGTGACTTTGAGGCTAGCCTGGTCTACAGAGCAAGTTCCAGGACAGCCAGGGCTACACAGAGAAAGCCTGTCTCAGGGGAAAGAAAAAAAAAAAAAAGGATTTGTTCATGAGATAGAAATCATTAAACAGAAACCGAGAACACCCTCCTGAGTTGTGGTGTATCTCACTGGTAGAGTAACTGCTTATCATCAATAGGCTGGGTTTGAATACAGAACTACCAAAAAAAAGTTTACTCCAAACAAGCAGCACCTCAAAGCTGACTTGTTCCCCCCTCCCAACCCCCATTTCTCTGAGACAGGGGTTTAACTAGGAGTTTAGGCTGGCCAGAATTTGTGATACTCTGCCTCCATTAGATGCTTCTAATACCTAGCAGGATTGAGTATTTTTAACACGGGTGTGTATGTATGTGTGTGTGCAAACCCTCTGACAGCTTTTAATGTTGTATGAATTCTTGACTTTAAATTAATAGCATACCAGTATTTCAGCTCCTATGGTATCAGATACTTTTACACACACACACACACACACTTTTTCAGACTTTGTGACCTGCCAAGGGGTGGTGGCGGTGGTGCACGCCTTTAATCCCAGTGCTTGGAAGGCAGAGGCGAGAGAATCTCTGTGAGTTCAAGGCCAGCCTGGTCTACAGAGCAAGTTCCAGGGCAGGCTCCAAAGCTAACAGAGAAACTCTGACACGAAAACAACAACAAACTTTGTGACTTAAAAAAAGAAAAATAGAGCTTTAGGTAATAAAGTGGAAGTGCGAGAAAGAACAAATTCCATGTTTTGTTCCCCAACTCTAACAGCTTCAAGTTGCAGATAAACTCCAGCCTAGTCAGTCTCTTAAAGAAACCACAATGAAGTTCTCTAATATGGATATTGCAAAGTGCTACTGGGTTTTCATAAGTTGTAGACTATTTAAAGCAACATTACAGTGCACTTCACAACACTCTGGGACTTCAGTAGTTCTTCTAGAGCTTGGAACTCTTTCTCTAAGGCATTGATATCATGAATAGAAAAGCCAATTTTCAGTTCTGAGCTGCTTTCCAGATAACAGTATGGAAACGTCTTTGTTATACTGAGCTGACATTTATTAAAACTTGATTTTTACTTGTATGAAATTAAGGTTATCCAGAAGTAAGAATGTTGTAAGTAAAGGCAACCAGGTGTATATGATTTGGGGTTTTTGTTTAGACCCTGGATGGCATATAACTTGTCATGTAGACCAGAGTGGCCTCATATTCAGACAGCCACCTGCCTCTGCCTCCCAAGTGCTGCAATTAAAGGCATACAGCCTCCATTCCTGGCCCAAGGTATATATTTTAAAGTATATTTTATAAGTGTATAAGATTGAAGTTTTCCCCATGGTCTAGTAAATACATAACAGATCTGAAATGACACCCAGAATCTTTCTGTGAAAACAAACTTAGTTGTTTACCAAGTGTACACTATAACTTACTAAAAATTCTTCTTTTAAAGCATTATTTTATGTCAAGCTACTTAGCATTTGATCTAAGAACTTTACATTTCCAATTTCTAAATCCAACTCTAAACTTGGAAATCCAGTAACAATTCAATAAACATTACCTAGAAGGGCCAATTAGGGAAACTGTTGCATAAGGATCACAGCTTTGTCCATTTATGAGAGGCAATCCATGGCATGCCTTGATGCTAAGGAAGAAAGAGATTTTAAACTATTAGAGTAAAGTTAACATCATAACGTATTATCTCCCCCTACCCCACCCCTTTGCCTTCTTATGGACTGGGGACAGAACCCTGAAATCACATACACAGAGCAAGTGCTCTGCAACTGAGCTGCACTCTCAACTCTAAACATTACCTTTAAACTGAAATCAACAGTCGGGTGGGGGTGGCGCATGCCTTTAATCCCAGCACTTGGGAGGCAGCGCCAGATGGATCTCTGTGAGTTCAAGGCCAGCCTGGTCTACAGAGTGAGATCCAGGACAGGCTCCAAAACTACACAGAGAAAGCCCGTCTCGAAAAAAACAAAACAAACAAAAAACCCCAAAAAAGAAAGAAATCAACATATTCAAAGGCCTTAAAATTATTTATCACTTTTGCAGTTCCAATACACTAACCACTCCAAATGATGTTATTTGCTTATTTGCATGATTATTGCCCAAAGAGAAGTAAACAGGAATGACACAACCGGTACTCAGTCTACCATAACACATTTCTTCCTGGTAAATACTCAAGGTACATTTTGTGGTTTGATAATACATCAAAACTGCTGTGGCTTCTAAAAAGGAAAAGAAAGTGGTGTAGCCTTACATGAGAAACTACAAACCAGGCCAGCACCATGGCACCATATCCTCTGCTAAGGCATGAATGACACACAAGGAAACGGTTGTGGTTTTACTTAAAATCTGATTCATAAATAGAGGGCAAGCTTCACATAATTCTGTAGTCTTTCGTGAGGGTTCTCAGCAATAGTTTCTGCTGTTATTCTGTAGAAAATGTTCTAGACTATAAACACCAAGGCCATCCAATCTACTTTATGAATTATAGTTGTATTTATAGAAAGCACAGAACACAACTTAATGATCTGATTCTCAAAGCTTCTCAGTCATTATTACTAAGTTAGTTTAATGTCTAAGTCTTCATTTCCTGCTGCCTAACAGAAGCTCATTAATGCTGCTAAGTGGTTTTTTTTTTCTTTCTTTCTTCTTTTTCTATTTCTAAGGACCAGGGCTACTGAGCAACATCCTCTATTTCTCTCCAAAACTTACTCATTACATATATGGGTGAACTGCAAATGGAGTACTGCCAAGTGAAGAAAAAATTAAAAATAAGACTTCTTTCTATTAAACTGGGCATCAAAAGTCAAATTTAAAAAATTCTGAAACTAGGGCTGGAGAGATGGCTCAGCAATTAAGAGCACTGACTGCTCTTCCAGAGAACTAAGGTTTAATTCCCAGCACCTACATGGCAGCTCACAACTGTCTATAACTACAGTTCCAGGGGACCTGACCTTCACACAAATGCACATGAAATAAATTTAAATAAATTATTTTAAAAAATTCTGAAACTAACCAAAAAAGCACAGGCCAAGAAACCATATTTTAGGGTTTTTATTTTTCCCACACATGAGGCATCATTAGTCAACTACCAGTTTCTTCTGTGGCTGGTGGGCTTTACTAGCTCTGTGATATATGGTGTTCTCATCTGTCTGACAAAGCTTGGAAGCAAATTATAATCGCTTCCAAGGAACTTAACTGATACCTACAGAACAACTCAAGCACATTCCAGGAATACAAAGTCTTTAGTGTCTTCAGTTTCCAATGTAAATAATCAATAAATACGGCCTATTGTGAAAAACAAAACCAAAACAGAAGCAAAAATGACAGAAAATAAAACTGTAGACAAGGACATTTAAAAATTTTATTTCATAGCATAGAGAGACAAAGAAAACCTTAAAAAACAGAGGTCTAGAGATAGAAAAACGTAAGGTCTGACATAAAAACACAGGTAAACTCAGGTATTTGCTAAGGCCGTGGAGAGGAGCCAAACAAACACGAGAATAAGAGAATCCAGCTTCAGATGTGAACAGCTGCAATGGTATATGACAATACAGTGGACATGAGACTAAGACTCAGACAAACAGGTTGAATGTACAAGGACAGACAATCAATAATGTGTTTTAATATAATCGCAGACTCTCAAATAGTTGTAAAGAGAACATACAGAGTTTCTGCAAACCCAGTACTCAGTGTTAACCAATGTGAAACTACTGTAATAGTGAAACTAATGTAATAAATAACATTAACTTTAATGTTGCTAACACTAATTAATCTATAGATGTCACTTATTTTGCCAAGATCCAGGATGCAATATGGGATCCTACACTACATTCGGATGCCATGTCCCCTGGGATACTTGCTTTCATATTACTTAATCTGAGTTTGTTTGGTATTTGCTGATGACCAGATTGGAATTAGATATCTTGGTGTCCTTTACAATATATAATAATATCGAGGTAATGGATGTCTCATTACTGTGAAGTGGTTATCTATGAGATAACCTTATGGGAAGATTCTTTGAGACTATACAAATATGCAATCATACTTAGGCAGACACGCTTAGTATTAGATACTTTCTTATCCTATTATATTTTATCTAGCTATTTATTTCTATCTTTTATGTATGAGTGTTTACCTACATATATATACACTACCTGCATGTCTGGTACCTGTGGAAGTCAGAAGAGGGTGTCAGATCCCCCTGGAAATTAAGTTGTGAGTTACCATGTGGGTTCTGGGAATGAAACATAGGTCCTTTGAAAGAGTAGCAAGTGCTCTTAACCACTGAACCACCTCTCTAAATCCCTAATTATATTTTTATTATGTGCTTTTATTTTTAACTGACATGTAACTGTACATATCTATGAATACAGTGTGGCAGATCAATACATTTATATAATGTATAATGATCATATCAGGGAATTAGCCTATCTAACATCTAGACATAATTTCTTTGTTTTGGGAATGTTCAAAATTCTCCCTACTAGCTGTGCTGAACTGTGCTATAAACCATTAGAAATTATTTCTCCTGCTGGGCAGCAGTGGTGGTTCACACCTTTAATCCCAGCACTTGGGAGGAAGAGCCAGGCGGATCTCTGTGAGTTCAAGGCCAGCTTGGTCTACAGAGTGAGATCCAGGACAGGCACCAAAACTACACAGAGAAACCCTGTCTCAGGAAAAAAAAAAAAAAGAGGGGGGGGGAGGGAGGGAGAAAGGAAAGAAAGAAAGAAAGAAAGAAAGAAAGGAAGGAAGGAAGGAAGGAAGGAAGGAAGGAAGGAAGAAAGAAAGAAAGAAAGAAAGAAAGAAAGAAAGAATTCCTCCTATCCTGCAGCTCTGTACCTATTAACAATTCTTCTTCCACAATCCTTCCCCTATGTCTTACTGAGGCTCTGGGAACTACTATTCTTTATGCACTTCCTTGATAATAGCTTTCTAAATGTTCATATATAATTGAGAGTATGCAGTGTTTGTCTTTCCCTGTTACTAGTGTGGTCTTTACCAGTGCTGATTTCAATCTCCATCACTCTTCTTGAATTCACTCATTAGAATTCTACTATAAGGAAGGAATCCTTTCCTCCTATGCATTTATTCAACTCTTTACTTGTATTAGTAGTGATTCATGAATATTTATTTTATTCTGCATATTTTAATCCATTATTATTACTAATTTTGAGGCTAAAACAATTGGCCATCTGGAGTTCATTCAGATTAGTTTCAATCTTTCATTTATTCACATCTATCTGTCCATTATCTTGAGAGTATTTTTTTACTTTTTAATTTCATAAGATATTCTAGCCTCATTATATATTTTCCTTATCCCAGCCCTGAAAATAGTCACCGCTAAAAAAGGATTCTAGGCTTCTGTTTGTTTTTTATTAGAGCTATACTAATATTGCAGCCATTTACCACATTTGGCTATTAAGTTTAAATTAAAATTAAAAAGTATGTAATCATATAGGCCATATTTCAAGTTTTCAATAGTCAGACATTTCTGATAGGTATTAAACTGGGAATGAATATGTAAAATGTTTTCTTTTTCATATAAATATCTACTGGTCAGCACTCATTTTGTACACATTTGTGTACAATCCTGTGCACACACCACTCCCCAAGCTCCTGCATCTTTAAATGAAATGTCTTTGAGAAGTCTGTCTTCAAAGGAGAGCAGAAAATGAGGGTGAGTTAGCTAGCAGTGAGGGGTAGATAAGTACAAGTGTCTCAGGGGCATGCATTTTAGGATGGGAGATGTAACAAGGCCAGTGAGAATCAGGAGGTAATGAAGCAGGAGAAAAGCATAGCCAAAGAAAGAAAGTCCTTGAAGTGGGGAAACACCTGCAAACCCTGTGACTACAGCAGAGACCTACCTGGAAGGTACACTAGCACAACAGTGGCACAAATGTTCACAATAACAACCTTTGCTTTGACTTAAGGCCCACTGCAGGAGATGGAACCCAAACCTGATACTGCTCAAGTGGTCAGGAACCTGAGACGAGATAGGCCATGGGCCTAGGGAAAACCTACTGCTATTATTCTACTAAAGGAACACAGCAGTGACTCCTAATGACATAATGCTATACCCACAAGTAAGTGCATCACTCAACCCTCATTAGAGAAGCTTTCTATTGCAGTAGATGGAATTAACATAGAACCACAACTGGACAATGTGCAGAGCGAGGGACTTTGGAGCACTCAGTCCTACATGGGATGTCTTCATCAAATCATCCCTTCAAGGCTCAGGGGTCTACGTGGAAGAAGAATCAGGAAGATTCTAAGAGTTAGATGTAGTAGATGACTCCAAGAAAGCAATGGCTAGAGACAACAGGATTGATATACATATGAACTCACAGAGGCTGAGACAATATGCATAACACCTGCAGAGAATCAAACAAGATGAAATTCCAGTACTGAGAAAGAGATGTGGATGCAAAGAAGCTATTTACAACTGAAAACTGCTGGCAAAGAGAAAAATCAGTTTTCTCCAATAGTGTCTCTGGGTATATCATACACATTTCAAAGCAGGTCCTGTGCCCAGGAGCAGTTGAAGAATACAAATGGGATTCCATGTTGTGTTTTTGTTTGTTATTTTTTTGTCTTGTTGGGCTTTTTTTCTTCTGTTTTTTTTTTTTCATT